TTCGTAAAATTCTGATTCCAATGAGAAAGCAAGTTTTAAGATTTTTGTTATAAAGGAATATTTTAATGCATCTCTGCGAAATTTGATAAAGAAAGATTTCAAATATTTGTTAAATCTTACTATAATTATGATATCATCAATAAAACTTCTCCTTACAATATTTTGTTTATCTAACTATAAGAAGATCTCTCATTTCTTCATAATAGGTAGGGTATATTTTGAGCTAATCATTTTGATGGTCACTAAATGATACTGTAATAATTTTACTGATCAAGTAAAAGAAGCTTTATACGATACAATAGATACAGTGGCGTACTTTAGCGTTAATCAATAGTGAATCCAATATTTGGGAAAGAAACTTCTCAGCCATTTCCTAATTTCTGTTCAGTCTTTCTGTCATTTTTATATAATAGACATTTTGTGCGTATACTCACGTTGAATTCCACGTTTACTTAACTTGTACATGATGCTATTCTTAGCATGAATATACAAGGTGAATGTGATATATGAAGGTTAAATATGAATACATGAATTTAGGAGATAACGTTGAAGCATCAATTTATTGGTTAGTATATTTGAGTAATGGTACATTGTTTCACTTTCAGAGGGAAAAGACTGCTCGACAAGTTTGGACACCACAATCGAAGTTTGAAGGTGTACGCCGTATTATGGTTTATTTCCTCAAAAATGATGGAACTCCGGCTCCACCCACTGGAACTATACCACAAACTGGTAACGCAGTTCCTCCTACTACACCTGCCGGTGGTGTTCCACAAGCGGCAAATACATCGGCAGCAAATGCATCCAAGCCAGGTGTAGTTCCGAACACAAAAGTACCAACTCCGGATGCAAAAGATTCAGTTCCAGATGCAAAAGGACCTTCTGCTGCGGGAAAATGAAAGTCAATTGGAGAAAAAATGTAAAAAATAATTCGAGCGATCCACAATTTCCAACTTCCATTGAATTCAAGTGGAATTTTGAAAAAAGATCTAGCAAAGAAATTTTAAATTTCAAATGTCCTCATATATCTTTTGTCAATCAGATACAAATTACCCGTCAATTATCATTATCATATCACATTAATGCAATAAACAGTCAGTGAAAGCATCCAGCGCAATTGATCAAAGAAGCTGAAAGAGGAATGGGCTTGAATATATTAATCTTCCTAAGTGACTTGATAAAGAAGATTAGTAGTTTGAAAGTTTGATAACTAATAGAATGTTATTCGATGATCCTGGAGTAGTTTGAACAGCTGTGTATACTTCTATCCTTCTCTACACGCACGTGTATTGTGTCTCTTTCACAGCTGCATTATTTCTTTAAACTTTTATCAACTTAGTGCTGATGATTTTCTAGACATCGATAAGTTTGCATTTGGGATAGTTTTTTCAGTATTATATTGCTTCATTTAAGACTTAAACTATTTTTATAATAAATAATTCTCATTTCATATTTGCAATGAATCTTCCCATATTTTTTTCTGCTTCGATAGATAGCAGATAAGTAAATAAACAAGAAGTGTGTACATGCGACATCAAGTCATATGTCACATGAAAGTTGTGCAAGACTAGTGTCAACTGTCCTTACACAGAAATTTAACTTTAACCTTAAAGTTGCAGTTTTCATGAAACCTATCAAATTATAACTGTTGAGCAGTAAAAGAAAATCACAGTTCTTTATTTGACTAATTCAAAATTTAATTTCTGATTTTCAGCTTCCATTCAAATATTTCATCATTTTATTCTAGCGTAAGCGTCAAAATTATTTGATTTATTAATTTCAGATTTTTTTTTTGCTTCTCAATTTCTTGCAGTTAATTGTGATCAGCAGAAGCAAAAGTTACGATGAAGACTCGTGGAAGGAATTTCGACGTTGTATGTTTATTGTCCTATAACTTGTATATTAAACAGAAAAATTGAAAATCAAGTTGAGATATGTAATAAGAGATAGTTTTATAGATACATCACGGAATGGTACTACTCAGTGACGGTAAAGGTCGCGGACGACCCGTACGATTAGAACTCACAAAAGGTTAACAATGAAATTACTGTAAAGATAAAATAGGGAAATACTATAACAAAAAAGGATTGTAGCCATTGTTTAATTAATTCGTTTCAATGACAATCTGATGAGTTAAAATTAAAACATTTTTGAAATTTTTTAGATCTTCATAAGTTTTTTAATTTCACTTAAAACAAATTGCAATTTTAAGTAAAGATAAAAGAGCTCATTTTTCTCGACCTTATACAGGTTTGAATTTGAATTTTAGATGTTCTCATTATTCAAATAGCCAAAAGCGGTTTTTTTGATGAGACGAAAGATTCAGTGATGGAACTGGATAATAGCATACGACATGTTAAATTACGCAAGAAAAGTGACGGTGGTTTAGGATTATCGATCAAAGTAAGCTGATTCAAATAAAAGTAGAGACTTTTCGATTTTCTGAACAAGCAAAGCTATTTTCCAGGGTGGTAACGATGGTAACCAGCAAGTTTCAGTTGTTATTTCAAAGATTTTTCAAAACACTCCTGGTATGTACAATAAAATAATCACTTTCATTCTTCTCCATAGTTCATTGTATTTTAAGAGTAATTTAAATTTTGATATTGAAGAAAATCCACAATTGATCATATTGCAACTCTTTCATCGTTGTAATTCTGCAACATTCACTTTGGGGGCATTCAATCGAAGATCTAATTTTGACAATAGATGCCTTCAAAATACTAACAATGATATGATATGATATGATGATGTTTCATCACTCCAAATTATTGATAGTGTTTCATCATTACAGCAGAAGAATGTGGTCAGCTATATGTTGGCGATGTGATTGTTGAAATAAATGGGCAGTCAACAGATGGTAAAAGCCATGATGAAATTGTTCAAATCTTAAAGAACAGTGGAGATGAAGTAACACTTAGTGTCAGACATTATATACAAATTGCTCCTTATCTAAAGTTAGATTTTACTATAAGTTAAATGTTTTATTGGATGCTCATTAAACTATTTACGCTCAGTTTTTTATCATTTAAATTTTAAGATGTAAATGATTGACTTAAAAAGCTAAGTCTGAGAAATAGATAATGAATCTTAAATACACTTTATGAAAGCTGTAAAGGTTTCTTAAGATGCTTTAGAATAGTTTTAATTTTTAATATGTACAATGGTTCATCAGTACTCTTGAAGAATTTTGTAATTTTCCGTAGTTAAGCAAGAAACTTACAATGGACATGATATATTGAAATAACTGTTAACTTTCGGTACTTCGACCACATTTTGGAGTATTTGATTCTTAGAGTATAAAGAAAGCCTCAGATAATACGATGAACTTTTTTCAGGCCAGCAGATTCGCTTAGATCGCACACAGGAAGTGCATTTGACCGTCTCTATGAACCGAACACCTGGAAGGTTTGATAATTCAGTTGTTCAGAGTAGAATATTTTTTCTCAAATCATTAGTGAAATCCTCGCAAGTAAACTAAAAAAATTGAACAATTTTTATTTTGATATTCGCTTATTTTATGGATTTAAACAAATATTAAAAATCAAAGTGCAAAATCAAATTTAGAGCTCATTAAAAGTGCAGTCATTGGTTCCTACTGGTGAAATATCTAGTATACGAAGTTCCACCGCCCCAGGTATAGCTGATGGCTCATCAGATGAATGGAAAACGATGGCCAAGATCCCACTACCAATGGCGTTTATTACTCGTTATTTATGGGGAACTGATAAATTAAGGTTATCACTTAAGTATAACCTGTGCGTTATAAATTAGGATATAAGCTGCAAGCAAAAAAGGTTGACCGATTCATTTTAATTAGTTTGAATAAATTCAGATGTTATATACTTGCAAAATTAGGAAGTAAGATTCATTTGTTATAATAATAAAAAATTTTTACTCTCTTCTATATTGCATAACAATGATAATGTTCTAAGTAGATATTTCTTATCAATAAAAAAAAAGAATCTTTTAGTCCGAAGTATTTGCATTTAACAGAACATTATCCTCAACTATTATTCAATCATTTATCTGAATAAAACAACTGCTACTTACCACAGCTGTTCTAATTTCCAATTGCTTTTTTTTTCTTAAACTTCGAAGAAATTTTATTCATAAATTTTGTGATTTGCATAATTTCAAAAATGTCTGAACTGAACTTTTAGAAATAATGCATTCGAAGTTCGTGCAGTGGATGGCTCATCAACAGGTATTGTACATTGTGAAGACAAGAAAACGATGGAACAATGGTTTAAACATATTCAGAGTCGTATCACATCGCTTAATTATAAATCCATCAAATTGTCAAACAGATATTTGCATAAAAATGAACAGGTTGGTACTAAGAAAAAGAATACATCAAAAAAACATGCTGAATGATATTGTTATCCAAGTGAAGTACTTTTCAAAATTTTACAAAATTACTGAAACTGTCAAACTCTTAAACCAAATTAATCAAGATGAAATTAAAGTTTAGGAGAAAAACTGAGGATGACATTTTCAGATCACGTATATCGGTTGGGTAAGCGAGCGATTACCGGAAGAACATTTCAAAGACCCACGTCAACGTTGGGAACCTCGATTCATTATCCTGAAGGGTGGCGAACTTTGCATTTTTGAGTCACCACCAGTATGTTGAATTTCAAGAAATTCTTTACAGTACTTTTTCCATTCATAAATGTTGTCACTTCAAATAGTTGACATCATCTAACACGTAAAACTAAATAATTTGTAGCTGAATTCGGATGATCTGAATAAATGCGTATCATTGTACAAAATTTATGATACGGCATTCAAAGTGATAGATCGAGAGAAACCAGCATTAGATAAACGTGAGTATTGCTTTTGGATTGAAACATCTATGAATGGATTGAAGCATTACATGTCAGTTGAGAATCATCATCAGTTCAATCAGTTTGATGTAGCTTATCACCGTTGTTTACACAGTACTGTCAACAGTTTTCAGGTATTTACTTTTCTGAATTTATTTCCATCCGTATCGCTACCGTAACTTAATTACTTATATCATTCATCTGTTTCACAAATATATATATATATATATATATATATGTTTGTACTCATCTACCTGTAAATTTAATTTTTCTATT